TTTTTTTTTTTTTTTTTTTTTAGGTTCAAACTGACTCTCCCATGCTTTTTACTACAGAATGTCAGGATCTTAATTAACTGTGTGTGTATTTAGGAATTTCTTCAGGATGTATTTCTTAATACATTGCTTACTGAGGAAATGGAATTTCTTTCTCTTGAGTACTGTTGGAGCCATCTTCATAAAGAAGGGAAAAGCTACTCTGCCAAGACAAGATTACTAAGGTTGCTTCAATTACAAAAGTAAATGGCAAGTTTGTCCTCTGAGAGGCTAGTATCAGATAAGGGGGGAAAAAAAGATAACTGTATTTAACAGCCTCCGGTAACTTAAAGAACTAAATCTAGAATTATGAATTCTTCAGGGAAAAAGACAAATATAAATTGAGACCAATAAAATGTGGGAAAGAGAGCTGTAACTGTCAGAATCCCAACAAAAATGATAACACGCTGATTTATAAATGCGTCGCGTACACAGGCATTTGGGTATAGAGAAATGTTTAGGGACAGAGCGATCATCTGGAGCCAGCAGAGTCAGAGCTTTCATGTGCTCTAGGATCAAAGGGACCAAGGGGAGAAGGGTTATTTGGATCCAGAAGTAGAGAGTGTTGTAGAGGAGAGATGCTAGAGAGAGGACCTGTGGCCTCCTTGGCTCACATCTGGGAACTTCACAGGTAGGTTGACAGAAGAAATGTAGCCCAAGAGTCTGTCACTTTCATTGGGATGCTGTTGCCATCTTGGGTTTGACAGTGATGTGTTTTGCTTTCTGCCCATGCAATGATGATAACATCCCCTAGTCACTGTGACAATAAGATTATCCCCACTCATTACCAAACGTCCCTGATCAGGAGGTGATTTTCTCTCCATTGAGAATTACTGTATGTCAACCAAATATCTCTGGGAGTGTTTTAATCTTTATCTCCGGATCAGTGTAGATCATCAGAAAGCTATATATATTTGAGTTGATAGACTTGCATCTTATGGTGGGGGCAAGATAGCTGTACCATCTACAGCCCCACATCCACCAACCAGGCAGGAAAGAAGAAACTGGCAAGGTAGGTAGGGGTGATGCTTCTATCAGGAGAATTTTTGTTTTCCCTAAAATGTTTAACATATATCTCATTGGCCAGAACTGTGTCCCGTGGCAACGTTCTATCTCTGGTTGTAGTCTAGAGAAGTATTTTAAGTGAGGACATTGTCACCCTAAATAAAATAGAAATTCTTTGAGTAGTGAAGAAGGGGAGTAGGTATGAAGAAGCAGTTAGCGGCATCTTTCCCACAGCTATATATCTCTAGTGACTTGGTGTGGGTAAATGACATTAGAGTAACATAAGGCCTCACATCCCCTCTTCCTAAGAATATGTGAATTATCTTGGAAATTAATAAACAGCAAAATCAGGGTGTGGTCATTCATTTGTTGTATCAACAAATCTAATCATAGTAACTCAGAGCAAAATTAAAACATTCTGTCATTGACATATTTCCAGATCCATAATAGACTAATGCCTGAGGACAGATGTTTGAATCTCCAAGCTTTCTCTGAGCCTTTACTTATCCCCAGCCTAACCAAGACTTCTCATAGTTTGGCAGTGAGATCTTCCAATCTGTGTGTCCTTAAACATTCTTAAGATATTCAGTAAGTATTTCTGAATTGAATGAATGAATGCAATGGAAATCAGGAAGTTAGAAAAGGAGGAAGAGTCTACATTTGGGTTATCTTTGGTAAATCACTCTTTGATAGGAATCTTTGTTCTAAAATTTAGCATCTTTTTGGTTCTTCTGGGAGTGTTTGTTTCTTTCAAGACCCCTCTTTGATTTACTTGTTTTTTTTTCGTACCCTTGCCCAGTCCTCCTGTTCTTTCTCTAGTACCTCCTTTTTGCTGTATGTTGACTATATCTTTGGTAATCTGATCTGATTGAGATAGCATTGTTTAGCTTAGTTTATTATTGCTAGTGCTTTCAGTATTATATATATGTATATATTATATAT